AAAAAAAAAAAATCCACTGCGCAGGCTCGAAGGGTTAATGACCTTTCCCAAATCTTCGCTCGCGAAGACTGGCCATTATTTTTTTAAATGCTTTGCTCTGATTAGTCTTCAGTCAATTTACCTCCTATGACACCTTCATCAGAAGTTTCCTCGCTTCTTTGGGTATGTTGGAGCTTTTCTGAGAGAGATTTATTTAAGCAATTGAAGGAGTTCTTCAGTACTAGCTTTAATTTATTTGGCTTAATATTTTGTATCTCACTTTGAAAGGACAAATGTCTTATTGAAGTTTCGCACTACTTCTTCATTAAAATAGTGTGTAAGTTTTAGACTCTTCTGCTACTAGGATTACATTTTCTTGCCCTAGATCATTAGAACTTCTTAATTATTTGAGAATTAGAGTGAACAGGTCTATGACTATGTATAGGCTGCCTTAGCCTGAGAGGAGTGCTGGTTTCATTTTGAAACCACCTGCGGTATGGTACAGTGCAGCTATATGTGTCATATTTTTTGTGGCTTCTATAGCTTCCTACAGTGAGACCACAGTGAGTTGTGAGAAGAATGCACTGAACCAGCTGTTTACCCCATGCTGAGATATTTGTGATCAGATTTCATTTAGCTCCAGTTTATCTTCTTCTCTTTGTACGACTCAAATATGTGAGAAAATAAGGACCCAGATTCTAGAATGTAATAATAGGAGGACAATACGAGCAGCTTCTGGTTCCCTATTTCTCTGTCAAAACAACCTTATTCCTTTGCTAGTAACTGGCATTTAGTTCAAGCTGGTACTAAATGTCCTGTGTAGCTAGCTGGTTTTCTCTGGCTGTCACTAGGCTGTTAGTCTGCGCAGTAATAGTTCTTCCCTTGGAATTCCCATATTCTATTTCTGAAGCAGTGTTTAACACAGTATCAGAGGGACATCTTAAAAAAAAAAGAATGCCAAATGGAAGTGACTATAATTAGAGATAAAAATCTACTTTGTTACAACGCAAATTAAATCCAGTTTATATTGTGGGGGAAACCTGCAATGGTGTTGAGGCGCTGCATTTGAGAAAACATTCTCCCTTACCTTAAGTCTCTTAGACTTGTTCACGAATTATAAGAAATGAGACTGGAGATAATTAGAACTAAAATAAACCCCCCAAACTTGTAATTATTATTTTTTTTTTAGAAACTGGTATATAACTTTCAGTGCTGATGATTTCACCAATCATCTTCAAATAATAAATAGATAGATAGTTGTGACTGATCAAGTCAGTAATTTTAAAAAAAGGTGTAGTTCTCCATGCAGACATCTAGGAGATAAAGATAGATGATTCTTTCAAGCTATCACACCAAATTGGTTTTTACAGCTTGTGATTTAAAAAACTAAAAAAAGTCCCCCCCCAAAACAACCAACCAAAAAAAATCCAACCCCACAAAAAACCCCAAACCAAACCAAAAACCTAAACAACAAACAGAGAGAAGGAGAAATAAAAGGAGGGGTTAATTCTGCTGGAGTATAAATTGGTTTGTAGTCTGGCATATAGCTGTAAGAAACAGAGAGCTTACTGTTTTCTGTATAGATGTTTCACACACGATGAGCGAAATGCAGATGGATAACAGCTTTAAGAGGTTTTTCAAATGGGGAAGTAGCTACAGAACAATGTTATTCCCATAGCTGTTCTTGGACTACAGGGCAAGTTAAGCAGCATATTAAGTCATCTAAATAAAGGGGTGACATCATTCACAAGGTGGAACAAAGCAAGGTTTATAGATACAGAAAAAAGACTACTAAAGAAACTCCCTGGAAAGTTTGTGTCTTTCTATTTAGTTGGAAAATTAGCCAAGACACTTTTAGTACAACTGATCTGGATTTAGATTATTTGAGGAAAATTATTATAATTATAATTCCTTCATCAAAGAGCACAACTGGTTTGACTGACTTACAGAATAGACTGACTCATTATAACATGTTTTTGTGAATCCCTTCTCACATACAGGCAAAACAAATTAATTTCAGGTTTGGCTGATGAATCAGAAGACACAATCACAGATTAGCAAAACTCATAGAGATTTAAATGACAATTTGTAAAAGCAAAATGACACTTCCATATTTTCTCATATGTATTTTGACTTGCACTTGAGTGATT